GGAGACAGTGGGGAGGGTTTGGGGGAGAAGAGGGAGGGGAGGGGGAGAAGGTTTGGGGAGGGGGAGGTTACAGAGGAGATGGGGGGGCTGAAGAAGAGGAGGGAGACAGTGAGAAGGGTTTGGGGGAGGTTACAGAGGAGATAATATGGGGGGCTGGGGGAGAGGAGACGAGGGAGGGGGCCATGGCGGATGGGGGGGGGCTGAGGAAGGGAGAGCCTTGAGGTGGGGACTGGGGAGGCAGGAGAGAACGAGCGGCCCTGAGGCGCTGCCCCGCGGCTGACGGAAGCAAGGTCCCTGCCTGGGCCGGTCGGTGCAGGGGGGGAACGTGGCGCTCCCGGAACTGAAATGCCGCGGCCTGAGTTTCCCGCCGGCCGGGTACAAAGCGTCCCCCTGGCCGCCGCGCATGTCTCCTTTCCCTCGGCGGCGCCATTGCGGCTAGTGGTCCCGAGCCCTGCGAGCTCCCAGCCCTGCCGCCATCACCCGGACCATGGCCACCGACTCCTGGGCTCTGGCGGTGGACGAGCAGGAAGCGGCCGCCGAGTCGGTGAGTCCGGGGGAGGACACGGGGCCGGGCCGGGATGAGGGGGGGGTCGGGTCTCTGCGGGGCAGGACGCGGGAGGCCGAGGCCCTTCGGGGGGCTCCGCTGGGCCGGGGGCCAGAGGCCAGGCCCGTCGGGAGCCCGGGTCTAGGCTGAGCCCGGGGCGGGGGTGAGTAGGTGCCGCCTCGCACCGTGGCATCGGCCCCAGCCCGCCCGCCGCCGAGCAAGGAGGCGCCCGGGACAGCGGGGGTCTGGCTCGGGTCTGCCCCCTGTGACCCACTCAGCGGGTCCGGGGCTGGGAACCGGGTCAGCGGCTTTCCGCCTTCCTTTATGTGCGGGCCCCTAAAAAATGTTAACCGGAGGTGCGGACCCCTTTGGCAATCTTAGCCCTAGTCTGGGGACCCCAGATTGGAAACCCCCGCCCTAGAGTGGGGTTTCCATGGGCGGAGAAGTGAAATGGCTTCTGCACTAGGCTGGGGGCTGTGAGACCCGCTGACAGCTCGGTTCCGCTCTGCAGATTGCTGGCCTGGGCCCAAGCCTTTGGCACAGCTAGAGGCTAAAATCCCAAGGGCAGCTGTGTTGTAGCAAGTCCCTGGAAGAGGAGGTGTGTCTAGTTTAGATAGAGTCCTAAATATGAGCCTCCCCCCAAAGGAAAGTATTCCCTTTTCAACCCGAGTCAGAAGGCTGGGGAGGGCAGGTGTGTTAATGAATTTATTTCACCCTACTGGAGTCTTGAAGTTGAAGTCTAACTCAGCTCACAAGTGAAAACTAACGTCGGGTACTGTGAAGACATAAAGCGCTGTCACTATAAAGTGATGTTGGCTTCCCAGTTCCAGTTTCCCCACCATCACATAAACAATGAGCAAATGGCATCTTCTGTTTGAGATGTCTGTGGTTAGAATTTGCAGTGTTGTTGAAGTCCTGTTGGTCCCAGGATATCAGAGAGACAGGGTGAATGAAGTAATATCTTTTATTGGACAATCTTCTCTTGGTGGAAGTTAGGATAGCAGTGACTTGGGAGGTCCTGATCAAGTTATATTAGCTCACCATTGCAAAGGTCTAACCCACCCTTTATTTTAGGATGAATACTTACCTTTTTATTATCACCATTAAAGATGGGCAGACAGGTTTTTATGAGTTTTACAGGAATGCATTAGTAAAACCATGCGGAAGCTTTTCTAGCAGCTGTGTATAAGCTTAGTCCCTTAAGTGCTAAATGAACAGGAATTTAAAATATTTCAGATTGGTTTACTGTGAGGCCCCTTGATCTGTGGGTAAACACTGGCTTTTGTTAGGCTGCTACTCAGTTACTAGCTTGGATTGACATGAGTGTATGCCTGGGATGTGGTACTCTCTTCAATTTGCCTCTCCCAAGAGAGGGCAAAAGAGAGATGATTGACAAGACTGGAGTTCTCAATCTGACTGTCAAGCCACACGAATATATACATTCTCCTGGTATATTAGGATTCAGAAGACACTACAATGGCTATTCCTGTTATGTCTGCATCCAGGGAGTGTATTTCTTTGGTGTCTGAGGCAGAGTTGAGACAGCAAATCTGATGTATTTAGTGTGTGTAGAAGCATGAAGCACATGCTGATTTTTATAGTTTCAGGATAATGGAACACCAATTATTTGTTCTTGGGGTTACTTGTTTGTTGAATCCAAACACACCATGAGGGCATACACTTATTTGCAGAGAATTCCATTGTTGTTTTTACCTAATTATCAACATATGGCATTCAGTAAATCTTCAATGAATCATCAAAATTGCAGGATTCACCACTTCTTCATTTTTAATATCTGGATCACAACCACAATCCTGGTAATTGAGCACAGCTTTGTGGGTGTCTTTTAGTTAGCATTACTGCTTAATCTACCAGAGTGCTGAGCTCACTGACTCTTCAATACTCCGCCTCTACCAGCCCAAAAACAAGCAAGAGAGAGACTGAAACCCAGGTTTCCATGTCAGTGCCCAACTCTTTTGCTAGAAGTTGCAATTCTGAATTTGACATGTTCCTTTTGTTGCTCCTGTGATACAATTGGGTGTCTTCAAGCACATACAGCTGGTTAATATGTTAGAGTATTTAAAGAAAGTTTCTTTAGCTCTAGGGAATACAAACTTTTTGATGACAAGACATGAAGATTTGTACTTTTCAGAATTTTATTCTGCTACAAACTTACAAAGTATCATTCTTTGGGAAGGTGGCTGTTCTCCAAACCAGTGGTAGACAATTACAGAACACTCTCCTCAGTCTGAAGCATACTCCGATCCTGTCCCACGGTGTTCTCTATTCCTGATAAAAAATAAACAACCCTTCAGCTACATTAGATAGTGGTCTCTAATTTGTAATACTGAGTTAACCATTTTCTGTCAGTAGTCCTGTGCCTGCTGTCAGCTCAAATTACTATCTTGAAGCCCAAATTTCAGATGAGTGATGCATGAACAGAAAACAGCAAAATCTTAGTAAAGATTCTGGTGACTCTTTGGCTCTGACTTCTCTGATTGAAAAATACAGTGTAGCAGCTCTCATACCATTGTCTGTGTCCTTGCGTTGGATGTTCTGTAAGCCTCCCCGCTCCTGCTAATTTGAGGGTGGGTTTTTTCATAGATTCATAGATTCAAGGACTGGAAGGGACCTCGAGAGGTCATCGAGTCCAGTCCCCTGCCCGCATGGCAGGACCAAATACTGTCTAGACCATCCCTGATAGACATTTATCTAACCTACTCTTAAATATCTCCAGAGATGGAGATTCCACAACCTCCCTAGGCAATTTATTCCAGTGTTTAACCACCCTGACAGTTAGGAACTTTTTCCTAATGTCCAACCTAGACCTCCCTTGCTGCAGTTTAAGCCCATTGCTTCTTGTTCTATCCTCAGAGGCTAAGGTTGTTTCACTTCCTACTATGTTTAGAGTTTAAAAATTTTACCACAGCCCATGTTACGCTTTTACTGATCGTGAGTCTGAAATTGTCAACCTTGAGGAAGATTCCACTGAGGGCCTTCTTGCCAAATGAAGGATTCCTGAGCGTAACTATTGCAATTTCCTTGTTTTTCCACACACACAGTTGAGCAACTTGCACCTGAAGGAGGAGAAAACGAAGCCAAGCTCCAATGGTGAGTTTATAGCAACTAATGCTGGGTTAGAAAAGAACATTGTTTCATGGATGTTTGGTCTGGACTTTATAGCTTTTGAAAGGTGGGAAATCCAGTTTAGCATCCACCTTCCAGGAACTAACCACTACTAGCCTTAACTAAATGTCTGGCTTGAGTGCTTATTTTTTGTCGTTAGCTTTTTAAACTGTACTTTCACTGTTCAGTGCTGTTTAGTATTAAAGTGGTTCAGGGATTACTATCGTGACCAGAACTGATGGATTCAGGTTGCTATTGAACTCAAATGTTATGGCATGTTTGACTAAGTTGGGAGCAAACTACACTGCCAACATTCTCATGTTATAACCTGGCTTAGTTTTTCCTTCATAGATGGAGCAAAACTGTTCCTATTACTGATGTGGTTTACAGCTTTGTTTTTTACCTAGCTGTGACAGTAACGTTGCCTCTTTGGATGAGCCTGAGATATGTGAGCTTGCTTGGTCCCACTCCATTTGAGATTGCCCCAGTAACCGCGTTGTCTGTCCAAATGTAGGTGCTGTTGTCAAGACAGATGACAATGCAGAGAAAACAGAAGATGAGGAAAAAGGTAAGCGCAGCTGAGAAGCACTCTGACAAGGGACAGTGGGGAAAACAGTTAATTTTGAATCTGTTCAAAGTTAGTCTACTTCATTTCAGAGGATGGGAGAGTCTTGGCATCTGCCCAAAGGAACTCATTCTGATGAGGGTTCTCTGTGCAAGAGGTGTGAGAATACACTACTCCATATTGACTCAGGAGATTGCTATATGGTGATGGGGGAGGGAGAAATAAGGTGATCTCTGTATCTGTCTGCAGTGAGATACAGGAGCAGTTTGTTTGATAACGCTGTCTGTATTGCCTTCACAACCAGCGCTCCTTAGCCTTTGGGGCTTCTGGAACATATTGATTTTTTTTCTTATTAAACAAACTGTTCATAGTGAGTTAGCAGGTGGGTGGGTACTCTGGCTCCTTTGTGGAGGACAACTTAACTTGTCCAAAGTAGGTTTATCTTATATGGGGGAACTCAAGGATGCAATGGCTATGCTGGATAGAGGCAGAGATATTAAACTGGGAACTCTTAACACTGAGAGCATGCCATTGGTGTTAAAACCCTTAGTAGAGAACTACCTGTCCACACTTGAAACTCACCAAAGCAATATTTAAGGTGATCAGTACTCCTGCACCAGCTATTGGTTAGAGTTTTCACTATCCAGGTAGAGATATCTTAGAAAAGCAGACTTCATAGAATATCAGGGTTGGAAGGGACCTCAGGAGGTCATTAGTCCAACCCCCTGCTCAAAGCAGGACCAATCCTCAACTAAATCATCCCAGCCAGGGCTTTGTCAAGCCTGACCTTAAAAACCTCTAAGGATGGAGATTCCACCACCTCCCTAGGGGTAACCCATTCCAATGTTTCACCACCTTCCTAGTGAAAAAGTTTTTCCTAATATCCAACCTAAATCTCCCCCACTGCAACTTGAGACCATTACTCCTTGTTCTGTCATCTGGTACCACTGAGAACAGTCTAGTTCCATCCTCTTTGGAACCCCCTTTCAGGTAGTTGAAAGCAGCTATCAAATCCCCCCCTAATTCTTCTGTTCTGCAGTCTTCTGTATGTTTGGTAAGGTGGTCCTTAGCCTGTGGCATCCCTCTGCATTAACCCATCTCTCCCACATGTAAAGACTCCCTATGCTAGTTTAAGAGGTATTTCCTGTTTAACTCAGTGACGGTTGGTCACTGAGTAGAATCCCGTCTTTTAATAACGCAGCTTTGGTTTTGGTGTTTGTTTTTAATTAGTCTTCTTATAATATCTCTTAATTGTGCAACATCATAGTGGGAGTGTAACTGTCAGAGCTCAGCCAAAACTTCTTAGCTGAATGGCTGGTTCTTTGAGCCTCCTGCTCTTCTGTAAATATAAACAATGCTTCATTTTTTACTTCCTTCCCCACAGAGGACAGAGCTGCCCAATCCTTGTTAAACAAGCTGATTCGCAGTAATCTGGTGGACACAACAAACCAAGTGGAGGTGCTGCAGAGGGATCCTACATCACCTCTCTACTCTGTGAAGTCTTTTGAGGAGCTGCGACTGTAAGTCCGTGTTCTTCTGCTAATTATAGTCTCTTGCAATGCCGTGATGCAGAACTCTTCCTGTTGGTGCTGAATATCTTGGATTCACCCGAGAGTGATGCTATAAAAGATTTAGGATATTTACAGGTGTTAGGTATCCGGAGAAGTGTTCCAGCAACAAAAGCCATAACTCCAGTCATTCAGCCAAATTTGCCGTGCCACATTAAACTGTCTATAAATCAAAGATGACTGACTCTTCTGAAAAATTTTAGTCTTCTGGTGACTAAATTTCTAGGTGTGACCTATAGGCACAGCCAGGAGATTGTCAGGGAAATGTCAGTTTTCCAATACTGAGCATTGTACTAGTTGCAGTGCATTGTGTGGTCACTCGTGTTATCCCTTACAGTGTCTACAATGACACCTACAATCCCTTACGGTGTCTACACTTGGGCAGAAATGAGCTCAGGAGAGATCTGTAGCTGTCTCAGGCAACAAAGTAGAAGAAGCCAAACTGAGAACTGCATTCTGTATTTGTGTGGCCATATTCCTGTGACTTCTGCAAAGTATGTACAGTGGTCAGTCAAGATTTTTCTACCAGATTCTAGACTACTGCTGTTGAAAATGGATTGTTTACACCATTTGTACTTTGGACAAGAGTTATAGTATTTGAAAACTGATCTAATTTGTACTTATTACAAATAAGACAGGATATTGCAAAGATCTCCCATTATCAGCAAGTCTCTAAGGTGAAATGCAGACTATATGACTCCACCGCATCCCATCTGCATTTTGCTAGCACTTTCAAAATCAGCGACGTGCCATCCTCCATCAGAAGTTGTTTCGGGAGAAGGTTCTGGGAAACGAAAGGGGAAAATTCCAGGGCTGAAGGGGGAAGAGAACCTTAAGTGTGCAAAGGAAGTTTTCTTAGAGAACACAAACACAGAAATCCTACCCTGGGAAAAGAGGGGTGGAGAACAGGGTCAAGATAGTGTTATCAGCTTTCAGCTGCAGCTGGCCTGACTTTTAGATTGCCTATAGAAAATGGCTCTCAAACACCACAGTTAAATAGTTTGGAGGAGGGATGAGTGCATCCCTTTGCTAGTATTGAATGGAGACTCTTCATGAAGGGTTTGTGGCAGAAAGACCTCAATTTGTAAAGACTCTGCAGCAGAATGGGCAAGAAACTTAAATTATATTTAAGCTTAGATATTGATGAAATACAGCAAAAATGGTTGAAAGCCTAAAATTAAAAGATCTATGAAATCTTTCCCCGCCCATAGAATCTTCTTGTTGTCAGATAAATCTTGTCTCAATGTAGGTCTTTTTGGAAGCTTATTCTTCTAAACTGTTTTTTTTTTAATTAGTGTTTTAAATAAATATTCTCCTGTAGTATTTACAATCCAAACATTCCTGCATTGTGCTAGTGCGTGGTAAGATGAAAATGAAACTGACTAAGAACAAAACTGAAACTCACTAGTCAGAGTTTTGTTGTCAGAGCTGAGAGACAGCATATATAATAAATTAAGATTTTTTTTAAAAAATCAGTTACTCAGAGATGTTTTATGAAATAGGTAAGTATTTTGTAGTCACACATCCCTTCTGATATTAAAACAACTGCCTTTTTCAATAAGCCATAGTTCACAAATGGACAAGCTTCCTAAGTAAGAATTGTTATCCGCTAACCCATGCTTGGGGTGGCTTTCTTTTACTCTTTGCCTCTTCAAGGTTCTTGTAAGGGGACTCAAATAAGGTTTTGAAATTCTGCAACTCTGGAATAAAAGGGTAAACTTGCCATCAAGCAGCGATAGCTGGAAACTCCCACTCTGATAGACTCCAAAATGGGAGATGTCTCCATTTGAACCATGCCTGTGGAATAAAATGGTCCCAACTTTCACTGAGGAAGACCTGTTTCAACTTTATCAAGAATCTGGAAAAACCACTTAAATTTCTAGCTCCTGCTCTTAGTCACTATTTCATTAGCACTCCTCCCCACCAGCAGTCTGCTTTACAGTTCTTGATTTGGTAGCTAATTAGAACTTAACAGGTTCCTAATTAAGTGTTTAGTTTGTAGATCAATGGAAAAAGCCTTCAGAGGAGAAATGACTTTGGCTTCGGGTTTGTTTTGCAATGTACTTATCTATTGGGCCAACATAGTTGTAGCTAGCACAGTTCTGATTCCACTGTGAACAGGACAGATTTACTTGAACAAATAATACCTGATCATCATTGCTTTAGCTGGTTTTAAGTGGCTTGCGACAGGAGATAATGCATGAGCAGACAGACTTCAAATTCTAGCTGCTGAGGCAATAGCAGTCTTGCTCCGTTGATGGCCTGTTAGAGGTTTTCAGTCTGGGAAGGGGTATCCCTTGTATCTGAGAAGGGCAGAGGTTTCCATTTCAGATAACTGCAAATTAGTTTTTAGACAGTTAGTAAATTAGCATATTTACTATGCGTTTTGCATAGTTTAAACACAAGCAACAGGAAGAATTGCTTGTCGTACAGGTGTTTGGTCTTTTTGTGCCCGATCTGGGCTTATTTTGAGCAGCTTCTTCATGCTCTGCTTTAGCCTTCCTCCCACCTCATTGCAAGTGTTCTCTGTGCTGACAGTCTAATGGTTTGGAAGATTTTTTTTTCCCCCACATTAAATCTTATACAAACTTGTATGAGTTGCAGAATGGCAACTAAGATTGCACAGTAGAGCTTGTCTTTAACAGCATGTGCTGAACTGATGGGGGAGGGATATTCAGATGACCTCCATGACTGATCTGGTCACTAACAGGTAAATGGCAAAAGCAAAACCATTTTGTCTAAAAGTCTCCATTCCCCCCACTCCTCCAATTTCCTTCCATAAATTGAGGGACGATCAGACCAGGTATTCCGCATAATGTTGATATTACAAAGCAGCAAGAATACTTCTTGAAAACTGAAGCAGTTCTGGTTTTGTGTATCAGAAGGAGAAGTAAAGAGCTCCATCTTATTACAGTTCGCCTTTAAAATCCCTTGCGAAGATACAAGTGCCCATGAAGAGCACAGGAGGAAGCCAACCCATTCTTCCTCTGCCAGTGACATCAGTCCCAAAACAATAGTCTGATACCTTTATGGTTCTTCCTGCCTCCATCTTCCCATTAAATACCTGCCCCAATTGTTCATGGAGCTCTTTGTGCATCAACTGAAGATAGTGGCATATGGTGTATGATGATAAACTTTTAAAACTGTGCTAGGGAGTTCTACTCTTGAGGTTCTATTCTTAATTACATTGGTGATTTTGTCACTTGTTTGGAAATGGGTCCTGAAAGGAAACCACCCTGACAGACTTTTCACCTTGGAACATTACAGCTTTGCCTTTCTAAGCTACCGCTTTGTAGCTGAATGACTACAAACAGGCTCCTTAGATCATATACCTTGCCTGTCTGGCTTTTGAAAGATGAGAATTGATCTAACAATCAAAGAAAGCTAATGATGGGAGCACTCAGACTAATTGAGTCTTGGTTCTGCAACTAGTTGTATCCTTGGCAACTGTTGCAGAGAATTGGGCTTTGGAGATCCTTGCTTTTGAACTAACACAAGGTTGCATATTCAAAGAGCTTTTATTTGAGCCACAGACTGCAAATAATACGGGCTTCTTGAAAAGGATGTTGAATCGAGTAGAGAGGTTTAACAAGCAGGAAAAGTGTGGGCAGGAAAATTGCTATTTGCTTTTCGGAAATTGCTGCTAAGCAACATTAACACCTACAAGAAGCAGTTAAACAGGTCATCGGTTAAGAGTTTACAAATACAAATGTCTTAACTTTAATTTTAGATTGCTCTGGAGTCTCCTTAGATACACAAGTGTCTGCTGTGACTTGAAAGCGTTCTTTATCGATTATAGGTGCCTTGTTAACAGAAGCAGCTAGTAACTTTGGCAATTGAACACTTTGGGTGTCACCACTGCACTTAAAATTGAGTGCCATCGTATAGCTGTGTACAGATCAATAGCCTGAATCATGCTGAGCGAGGCATGCCATAACTTACCTCTTTCTCGCACCAGTCAGTATTTACTCTCCTTCTTAGAGGTTGAACATCAAAAATACAAAATCTTAAAAGTGACTTTTGCAAAACTTTAATGTTAAATGGCCCTTGCAATCATATGAAACTTCTTCCTGTCCTGGTACCTCCTTTTGAACTAATGAGTCTGGCAGGGCTGATAACTGTGGTGTTAAGACACTGCTGATAGGACTTCACAGAGACATGGGAATTGGCATACTGGAATGGATCAGTAGTCTCTCTAGTCCAGTATCTGGCAGGAGTGCCTGTACAGCTGCTTTAGAGCAGTGGTTCTCAAGCTATTTACCATTGTGGGCTGCATATGCAACTCTGTGTTATGTGGGCTGCATCCACACAATATATATACTACCTGTATGGCCCTGAGGATGTCACATGGGTGATGGGCCACCGCTGTGTTGAGAACCACTGCTTTAGAGGAAGGTGCCAGGAACCCCATAATGGACAGTTGTGGAATAATCAGTGTGACTGAAGTGGAGTTGCTATGTGATTTATAAACACTCTGAGATCTGGTCAGTGAGGGGAAGTTATCGTATATTGGGTTATAAGACTTCCTGTATGAATGTATTGATCTAGCACAAGAGGGGGCTAGGAGAAGAACAAACATAAAGGCAAAACAGTGCCACCCCAAGTGCTTGGGAGCCAATTACAAGACAATGGCATACTTCCAGGCACCAGTCCAAAGTGCCACAGCTGTTTTGCCAGGCTGGAAACTAGGGCTTAAAAGGACAGTAGACAGTTAAACTCTTCTCAGGAGAGGAAGGGGCAGTGGGTCATTTGTCAGGTGCTGTTCCTGATGAGAACAGACTGGTCCTGCAGGAGTGCCTGAAAACAAATGAGGCCTTCCCTGCTCCCAGGGAATGGGAAGCTTTAGGGAAGGAAAGTTTAGTCTGGTTTGTTTTTACGATCCGTTTTCCATTCAATGCTTTTGTTCTAAATAAATAATGCTTTGCCGCATGGAGGCTGTTTGGTCACTGGTTGCCACAGTCATTGTTCCCAAAGCGAACAGATAACTGCAGATACTGAACATAAGTCAGACCTTGCTGTGGTTATCACAGTTGATACACAGGGGACTGCAGCCCAGGGCCCGGGCCGAGAGCAGGAGAATGACGTGATTCTGTCTCAGGGAAGGTGAATCTGCAAGGAGTGCACTCGAAGAGACCAGGACGGGGCAGAGGGGCAGTTAGCCCATGAACGGAGACAGCCTGCTCATAGGGGAAGTTTCCTCCCAACTCCATTAGTTCGGGTATGTCTACACTGCAAAAAAAGATCTGTGGCAGCGAGTGTCTGAACCCAGGTCAACCAACTCAGGCTTATGGGGCTTACGCTATGGAGCTAAAAATAGCAATGTAGATCCTGGGGCTGAGGCTCTGAGACCCCCCCTTCCCGCCGGGTTTCACTGCTATTTTTAGCCCTGTAGCGCGAGTCCTGCCAGATGAGTCTATTGATCCAGGCTCTGAGACTTTCTGCCATGGTTGTCTTTTGCAGGGTAGATGTACCCTTAGCAGCTGGCTTACGTCCCAAATCATGAAGGTTTATATCCTTTATAAAATGGTTTTCATCCTATATAATGAACACAATGTTCTCATTCATATACATGTTTAATTCATTAAGGTCTTAGTCTCAATGATAGCTTGTGACAGAGTTCCACATGTTAATTGTGTTGTAAAAAATGTTGTCTTTTATCAGTGGGTTAAATTTCTTGTCTTTTTATTGACTGTTTCCTTGCTCTTGTATTGAGAGGGTCAATAAAAGCTCCAGACTTACCTTCTCTAGCCCATTCATTATTTTATATATCTCAGATCTCCTCTAACCTTAATGTCCCAGTCTATTTAATCTCTCCTCATAAAGAAATTTCTTCAGTCCTCTAATCCTTTTGGTGAATGTCTCCGAACACTCCCTCTTTCTGCTCTCTTAGACACCAGGTGACCAGACCTGCACACAGTGTTCCAGATGTGGGTGCACTGTTGTTTTATAGCAAGGCAAGATCACACTTTTAGTATTGTTTTCTGTTCTGTTCTTTGTACATCCTGACACATTTGCCTCTCCTGATCGCTGCTACATACTGAGCAGAGATTTTAATTGAGCTGTCTGCATTGATGCTTAGAGTGCTTTCTTGAGTGGTTAATTAATTTAGAACCCAGCAGTGTGTATTGTAGCCAAATGACTCCTTCCAGTGTTTAATATTCCTTAAGGTAAAAAAATAGGGTCTTATTGTATCTTCTTGGTTCAAATAAATATTGGGTTCACAGATGTTAATCACAATATCAAAATGGTCCTTTGATAGGCTACTAAGTACTGTATTTTGCTCTTAAAAGTAACTAGTTTATTCATTGATAAAACAAGGAGGCACATAGTCTGAAATAGTGTCTCTTCGCTTCCCAATCTGGTTAGATCAGGGGTTCTCAAACTGGGGGTCGGGACCCCTCAGGGGGTCACGAGGTTATTACATGGAGGGGTCGCAAGCGGTCAACCTCCACCCCAAATCCTGCTTTGCCTCCAGCATTTATAATGGTGTTAAATATATAAAAAAGTGTTTTTAATTTAAAAGGGGGTCGCACTCAGAGGCTTGCTATGTGAAAGGGGTCACCAGTTAAAAAAAAGTTTGAGAGCCACTGGTTTAGATGCTAACATTTGATCTAGTGTTTCAGTTCCTATCCGAGGATTGCTGTCCAGAGTTTCATGTGTACAAAGCTGTGCTGTGGATGGGGAACCCCGTTTATCTGACCCTCCCTTAACTGGCTCTCTGCAGTTACCAAACAACCAGGACTCCAGGGCCAGAAGCGGGTGATCGTTCCTGTGGCCACTAGATGGTGCTGCAGCATCACATTTTCCCATTCTCTGGTTTATCCAGAGTTTTGATTATCTGATCTGGCCGTAGTCCCAATTAGACCAAATAAATGGGGTTCTATTGTATTTCTCCCATTTTAGGGTGTGCACAAGCTAATAGTGATTGAGTCACAGATGAACCACTTTGTTAGCAATGTGGAGAAGAAATGGGTTGCCACAGTAGTTTACTATTGGTAAATGTAGTACTAGAGGCATTGCCCCAGGCCTACTTGCTGTTAGGGTTTGCTTTTCAGGCACCTGCCTTTCACTTGCAATCAAAAAAATCTCCCATTGACTTGACTTCCTGGTTCTAGTGCTGTTTTTTACTAGTTCAGAAACATTCGACTCTCTCTCTTTCCAGGAAACCCCAGCTCCTGCAGGGTGTCTATGCCATGGGCTTCAACCGACCCTCGAAAATACAGGAGAATGCTCTGCCCATGATGCTTGCTGAACCGTACGTATCCATGCTTTCCACTTCCCCTGGGTGTGTACTATTACTGTTAAACTGTAAACGCTCTGGCTAGGAGACGGCCTACTTGAAGTGATGTTGAGACACGCTAGTGGCTGTGTGCCCTGTGCTGAAGGGGCTTCCTTTCCATAGGACTGTGCTGCTGAAATTCTTTCGAATGCTGCCAGGCTACCCAGCAAACTTCCATAGGTCCCCATAAGCACCCTTTTCCTAGGCTTGCACTGCATATTCAGCCACACTGAAGACAATGCCGTTCTTCCTGGCAGCAGTAAATCTGATCCTCTTGTCAATGTAGGGGAGATAAGGCAGTTCTGCAACAGCCCTGCATAACTCCTGGACAGGACAGAGCAGTCAAAATGCTGTGGATCGTGTCTGCCTTGCTTCTCAGTGCCCTTTAGGTGAAGAGCATGGAATAGTGAAGCTAACGCTAGGGGGAGATGAACAATATGGAAAACTACTGCAGCATCACAGCAGCTTTCCCTTCAAATCTCCATAGCGCATAGAAGCTGCTTGTGCCAAGATGCATGCGCCCTGCAGAAAATTCACTCGTGTCCTCCTCCTTGTGTAGTCCTGCCCTTATGAAACTAGATGGTGACTTCAGTTAGGATGTGGCCAAGATGCAGGGCCAAATTAATCCAGAACGTATTAAAATCACTTATCTGTGTCTGCCATTCAGTTAATTTAAGCTGTGTTGCCAAATCTCACAACTGTGTATCTTGTATTAGCTGGTCATAGAATGGATTATATTTAACCTGGTGCCAAAATGTTTAAAATGTCCCCTTGTGTTGATCCAGCCCACAGAACCTGATTGCACAGTCTCAGTCTGGTACTGGTAAGACAGCTGCCTTTGTCTTGGCCATGCTCAGTCGAGTTGAACCCGGGAACAAGTATCCACAGGTAGGGGCTACTGGAATCTAATGGTTGTGCTGGTTTTTAGTTGTAGTGCAGTGCCATCTAGTGGAGAGAAGCTATATTCCTTTGATAAGACATTGGTAGCAGCTACATAGCTTCAACTTCCCAGTGGGCTGTGGTGTCTGAGCATTGGGGAGCAGAGGCAGCAGAGTTGAAAATGCTGATTCTTTTTGTGCAGAGGTACTGGGTTCTCCTAGCTCTCCTGACCAGCCTGGTTCCCGCCCTCCCTTTTCTCCACCTCTGTCTTTCTGTACCCGTAACAGCCAAATTGGAGTTACGGTGAGCAGCTGTGCCGGGGAACATGGTGGGGTGAGAGTGTGTGGGGGTGTTGAGGCGGGAGCAGGGTTTGGACTGGAAGGGAGAGGATCTGTACTGACGAACCACCTGTGGTTGAAGAGCCCTGAGAAGTAGGGAGTAGATGGGGTGCTGAATGGTTGGTTTCTTGCCTCGTCCAGTTTACATTGATCCCTTTGTGTTAGAGTGCTGGACTGGGTAATGGCCTTTTGCACAGGAGTTCAGCACACTGGATAGGAGTTGGGAAAATTCAGTTTAGGAAGCCAGCTGATGTTTCTAACTACTGCTCCGAAGCAATGCGGAGTAGAGTTCCCACTTTCAGGGCGTGGGCAGCAGCACAGGAGTCGCGTCGCTTAGCTGTTCTGCAGAAATGGACTCGGCAGTTTTACCAGGGCAAGAGCTTCCTTGCTAAGGATGCTGTGTTATCTTCACTTCGAGCTACATTCATTAGAAATGTCCCTTATAAAAACGTATCTGTCTTTGTTAATATGGCACTTTGGCCGTATTACCATAGTACTGAGCACCGACGTTCTTCGCAGGGTGTTCTGTTTACATGCTTATGTGGGCAATACAAAATATACAAGCTGTACAAAACTAACCGGTACATGACGCTACACATGCAAACGAACTTCCTTTAATTGGGTGACTTACTAAAAACACTGTTCAGCTGATGAGTGTTAATGAAATTTACCTACAACAGTGTTTATCCTAAAATATTGGTCATCTATTTGCACAGAGGTGAAGTTTCACAACTAAATGTAGTTCACAGGAAAGTGTGACGATCTACTATGTGACGATCTAATATACTCTTATCTGCTTTCCTTCCAGTGTTTGTGCCTTTCCCCAACATATGAGCTGGCACTTCAAACAGGAAAAGTAATTGAACAGATGGGAAAGTTTCATCCGGAGCTAAGTCTTGCATATGCTGTCCGAGGCAATAAATGTGAGTGTGAGGGGAAATACGCCCCCTTTTTGCAGATCTAACCAGGGAGACTTACCCCTTTTTCTAGTGAGGTGTGGTAATGGGAATTTAATGCATTACTTTCTCTTAAAATTTGAAAGTGATTGGGTTTGACATCAGATACTCTTAGCACAGTTGGTCTGGAATCAAATTCTGTCAGGTCTGACTGCTGTACAGAACATGAGCTGGTGTAATGGGACTTCACTCTTGGAAGCCCTAAACTGGGCATGGAGTGGGAGTTGGACAGTTCATGATCTGGGTTTTTTACTTGAGTTTCTTCCTCCGTCTCCTCAGAAAATAACTGAACTTTGTAACTATTAGTGAAATGGAAGTGGCTGACGAACTTTATTGGTGGCTGATCTGTTTTGTCCAAGTGAATCTTTCATATTGTGGGTTGCTGGTGCAGATAATTACACATACTACTTGTTTCAGGTGTAGGCACTGTATAAACTGCTAAATTCGTGAAGTTGGGGAGAAGCGGTGGATCTTGTGCACTTCATAGGGGGTTAATGTTCTGACAGATTACCTCCCTGACTGGGAAAGCAATGTTGGATGCTGCAGAACCGCCCTATAGAGGATGTAATGACATCTGTTGCTCTGGCACTAATGGGACTGTACTATTCACACACACACCCCCCCACCCCCAAAAGTCAGTCTCCAGAGTAGGGGAAGAACTCTGAGCAAGAGAGTAGGGTGGGGAGTAACATACACAATGATACAGCTTTCACCTCCTCATGGAAGTGCTGTGCACACACCTCTCATGAAAGCCTTTCTTTCTGTCTACTAACAGTGGAGAGAGGTCAGAAGATCTCTGAGCAGATTGTAATTGGCACTCCGGGCACTGTCCTGGACTGGTGCTCCAAACTGAAATTCATAGACCCCAAGAAGATTAAAGTGTTTGTCCTGGATGAGGCTGATGTGATGATAGCAACCCAGGGCCATCAAGATCAGAGCATCCGCATTCAGAGGTAAGGAACATCCCCATGCTGTCATCTGGGCTGTCTGAGGAAAGGGAAAGATACTAGTTCCCCTCCACCACAGCCAGTGGATTTCTCTCATTGGCCTATTTAATGTCCCATTTCCTCTTCATGGTTGCAGGAAGGGATCTCTTCCAAATGGCAGGACGTGATCATTTGCTGATGACTAAGGCCACAGGCTACAATAAAAATACACTTAACTCTAATCCAGACAGTTCATAAAGCTGGAATTTCATTGAAGACAGACATTTAATTATTTCAAGGTTCGAGAACAGCCCTCCCTAGCCCCCGAGGAGGATTCATTGCTTAAAATGTCCAAATTTATCTGGATGCCACTGGCAAATTGAGTTGGGATGTGATTAGATATTCATAGGCTAATGTTTAGAAAGCCTAACGGACTGAAAAAGCTGATTCCAAAGGTTTGTAAGTGACATGCTCTGCTGCTGGGCTACCGCAGGTGCCACTGGGCTGATGGTCTCTAATAGGGAAACCCTAACTTGTTTGCCTTGCCTTGCAGAATGCTCCCCAGAGATTGCCAGATGCTCCTATTTTCTGCCACCTTTGAAGATTCTGTATGGAAATTTGCCCAAAAAGTTGTTCCCGACCCCAACATCATCAAACTGAAGCGAGAGGAGGAGACGCTGGACACCATTAAGCAATACTATGTTCTGTGTAATAATCGAGATGAGAAGTTCCAGGCTCTCTGTAATATATATGGAGCCATCACCATTGCCCAGGCCATGATCTTCTGTCATGTGAGTCGTTCTGGAGAATGGCATGACCTTTGCCACGCCCTAAAGCGAAGGGAGCTCTCGTTAAAACAGCCCCATTCTGAAATAGTGTCTACAGATGCCAAGAATCCTAGTGACACAGACTCCTTGCAAGATGATTGAGGGCATGATCGTTCTAGGAGCACAAATGGGCAACAAGCCATTCCTCATCTTGTCTTGGAAATGGAAAAATGCAGGAGAGTGGCTGGAAGAATCCGCCTTCTCGGCTTGTCTCTGACACTAATTGCCTGTTGGTCCTATCTCTGCTGAGGCTGGAACCCTACTAACAGCCGTTATTTAAAAAAATGATTCCTAGTGAAGTTTTACTTACTCCTGTGGACACGGAGTTTCTTAAAATCGTGATAGCCAAACTGCCCCATGTGAGTTGTGGTAGCCATGCTGGAGCCATCTAGCCCCAGCTGGTCTTAAACGTGTTTGTTGCTTGCATGGTTCCAGCCATCGTGTGGCTCACTTTTATTTTTAAAGCGGTCTCTGAAAACCAAAGAATTTAGGGTTCTGTAAACCAGTAAAATACGTCTCAAAACAAAGTGTACAACAAAATGATAAAAATAAAAGCAAGAAGGCTTTAATTGGGTGGAAAAATAAGTCTTTTAGGTAAAAGGACTGCCACTGGCTTGTGACTGCTGGACCTCAGTTTCCCTCTCTGTAAAATGGTGATGATACTCACAGGCATGTTGTGGCACGCTGGGATTCTTGTATGGAAGCTGCTGTAACTGCAAATTTTAATCGAGGCCCACGGTGATCACACTAGCAAAGCTTAGCTCTAGATAGGAAGAAGACTGGTATGTTAAGGCACGTGTTCTGTACCCGAGTGTCCACTAAAGCGAAGAGCCGTTTCCTGCAGTTTTAAAATGCAATGTTTGACGTAGTCAGGACTTTAAAAATGAACTGGCATCTTGAATTTTAGAGCGGCTTGACTCAACCCTTCAGCAGAGATTCTCACTGGATGGTCTTAAAGGGACGTTTTCAACTTGAAATCTAGCCAATTTCCAAAAATGAATAGTTAGTGGTACCACATACTACACTTGTCCCAGTCTTCTTGGTGCAAGGCATGTGGTCTTACAATAAGTTTCCTATTAAGTCTTTTCCTTGTTGCTCAGAGACCCAGACAAGCAGTGGAGCTGCCTGACTACACACACAGAGCTGTCCTTTGTAAAAGGAAATAGAAAACATGTCTCTAAGCTTTGTCATAATGTTAGGCTTTCAAACAGAAATGGGAATGGTTTGGGTTCTTTGTTCCTTTTAAACTATGATGCTAGAATCCTGGAACAAGCTGAGTTGGAGCCCTGAGCGTTCCCTTCTGTTAAGAGAGGCCTGTTCCTGTTTGAAGTTCAAAAACTGTCTTCCCAGAAAGATTTTAATTGCTCTTGCTTTACATTTCAGACTCGTAAAACAGCGGGCTGGCTGGCAGGAGAGCTGTCGAAAGAAGGTCACCAGGTGGCATTGCTAAGTGGTGAGATGATGGTGGAACAAAGAGCTGCAGTGATCGAGCGTTTCAGAGAGGGCAAAGAGAAAGTGCTGGTGACCACAAATGTCTGTGCCAGAGGTAGAATACAATGTCACTGCATCTCGGGGAAGGGAAGCGGGTAGTTGTACTTGAGACGGGACTGTGCCGTCTGGTGACAGACATACAAAATATTGCTGTACCTCCTAAAGAAGAATTTGTAACCCGTGCTAGATTTGTACAAAAGAGTCCCTAACAAAACCATTCCAAGGGAGACTGACAGACGTGCTGTCCCCCAAAACTTCTGGATGGTCCTTGACGTGTGAGAGTTGGGTTAGGTCTGTCTCTGCTGGAATGGCTTAACGTGGGATTTCCTTAAAGGAGACCTGAAGTAGGTTGAAGAATCTTCCCTTCCACCAGAGTCTCATTTTTCTGTCCTTTGGGCACACTGAGGCATCCCATGGCTGCGCCCTGCCCTGGCTTGTGCTTCACTAGAGGTCAGGCAAAGGAATAAACTCCTGTGCACATTACAGCTAAAAGGGGCATTCTGACACTGCTGAACACTTAAACGAAATAAGTTGACTGGCTCTCCTAGCCTGGCTGTTGAGAAGTAGGAGGGGCAATTGACTATATTTTAGAAGTTATTGCAATTTATTAGTCTTTCTAGGCCCCCATAAACATCAATATATAGTTCTGGTATGAAAGCATTAGGTCATGCAAAGGTGCTCAGTTTCTCTATGAGCTGAGGGGTGAAAACATTATCCATCCTCCATTTAATAGCATCCTCTCACTGTTATATCTTAAAGGGTCCTCTATATGCTATGGAAACATACGTTTCCAATTATCCCTGTAAGTTTTGCTGAGCACTCACTCTTGACATCGCTGCAGGCTTCATCATGGCACGTAGCTTAACTTTCCACAAAACTTGGTGGCAGTAATAGTGCAGCTCTGTGAAAGGTGTTGAAACTAATGGCTCTGGGTAAGCCCTAGATTCTGGGATCAGAACACTGAAACCATCCTGGACTAAAGCTGCTCTGGCTTAAAATGGGCTAAAGGGAGAGTTGTCATCTCTCGAACGCTTTCCTCCCCAGGGATTGATGTAGAGCAGGTCTCTGTGGTTATCAACTTTGACCTTCCTGTGGATAAAGATGGCAACCCAGATAATGAGACTTATCTGCATCGGATTGGGCGTACAGGTCGTTTTGGCAAGCGAGGACTGGCTGTTAACATGGTAGACAGCAAGCACAGCATGAATATTCTCAACAGAATTCAGGAACATTTCAGTAAGTCCCCTTTAGCTTCATTTCTTTTGCGTAGGTATAGCATTATTTCTATAGAATTTTGAGCAACTGTGTATCAGACAACCCTGACTCTAATTCAGATTTCCCTGTGGTCTTGGTCTTTGATTAGGCTTAACAGAGTTTTGCTTTGCTACATACAGTCTGTCAAGGGTACCACTGCACTTTATGTAGCACCTTGTTTCAAAAAGAACTAGGGGAATAGCCAGTTATTTGTATACATTCAAATGGGCATAACTTCTGATATAATTGTCTTTATTTTACAGTAGAACAGTGAATACTGTTTAAATGGCAAGTATGATAGCCCATTTTGGTATAATCTGAATAACTTCTACATCTGTCATAAGACAGTAAACTTCCAAAGTGATGCATGACAGAAGTGCCTGGGAGATCTTGCTTGTGTCCTGCCAAGTCAATCCAGTTCTCATTGGCTAACTGGCATCATTATTAAAAATGATATTCCACAAACCATAACTTTACTTAAATGCCCCTCAGCTTACAGTAAAGACATTACCACCCCCCTCCCCCGCCCCCAAGAAATTGCTTCCAATTTGAAACTTGAGTGACCCAGTGATCTACAAGTCACAGATCCAGAGGGTGTGGTCTGTGCCCCAGCCTGTAGCCAGTCCCTTGGAAGTGGCCACTTGAGTGGGCCGAGCCCTAGGTACCCACACGGTTCCACTGAGGGAGGCCAGTGACCTCTAGGGGTGTGTCTACGCTTACCGGTAGGTTGGCGCTGCTGTAGTCAATGCAGCGGCTGTCAATTTAGCGGGTCTAGTGAAGCTCTCCGGTCAACTCTGATAATCCACCACTCCAAGAAGAGTAAGGGAAGTTGACAGGCAAGCACGGCGTAGACACTGCGGTAAGGTGACCTACGCCACGTTGACTCCAGTTACATTATTCATGTCACTGGAGTAGCGTAACTTAGGTCAGCTTATCGTGGTAGTATAGACAAGGCCTAATGCTTTGACACTGGGTCTTTGGGCACCAGCGAACCCTGTCTCTCTCTGGCTCCCTGCAGCGAATCCAGCCAAGCCAGACTCCTGCAGGAGGCTTGTACTGTACTCCTTCAGAGCACAATGCTCTGTATTTGCCTTGACCCCAGACAGCTTTTCCAAAACAAGGTAACAATTCCTTAGTCGCCTGGCGTACAGAATCTGAAAGTCCTTGGGTCAGAATAGAGAGGCAAAGATTCAGATAAAGTTCAGAATGGCCAGCGTGGGGTCACGGCTCCCTTGAGCCATGCTGCTGAGGAGCCATCTTCGCGTGCTCTCTCCATCTCTGTCCCTCCTGTCCTTAGTCCCAGGTGTGTGTCTGTCACTCCAAAGGCCAGGTCTTAACCCCGCCGCCTGATGCCTTTGTTCTCCAGCTGGGGCTTTTGCTCAGCTTCCCTGCTGAGAGGTGGGGGGAAATCTCCTTCCTCTGTTGGTTGCTGGGTGTGAACTTCTTGGCTGTTGGGGTTCCCATTGCCTTTCTGGATCCTCCACTGATTTGGGTCCGTTTCAGCCTGTTCTTTAAATGACCTAGCCTTCGTGCCACTCCAGATAGTTATGTGACACAACACCTCATGTCCCCCCTCTCTGTCCCAAGAGCAGCTTTTTAATCCTTTTACATTCTATGCAAAGCACAAAGGGAAACTGAGGCATGCATAAGAATGTTTCCAAAATTCCCACTTTGTCACACTAAATTGAGACTTGATTTGATTTATAAAACTTAATTTTATTGTGTTGGTCATGGATTGGGATAGATTCATCTTGTGACAAGAACAGAAGTGGGATTTAACACAGTAAGGTGGGACCTTGCTTCATCTTCTGGTCTCTCATTGTACAAAGTGAATTAGTTCCGATTCTCTTCTAATCTTCTCTTGTAGACAAAAAGATAGAAAAACTGGATACTGACGACTTGGATGAAATTGAGAAAATAGCCAACTGAAACGCAGCTGCTGGAACTGATGTACGCCCTCCTGTGGTAGCTCTCCCACTACAATTGGCTCAGCGTTCAGATTGGCACACCTTTTGGCCAGTCATGAAAAGGACTCTTAAGATCTAAATACACAGAAATTACCTCACTTTAAAAATTGCAGTTGGACTTAAAATTGTGCCGCTCTGTGGAAGAAGAGGAAATGTTTACAGAAGCTTTTAACATTTCTTAGTTTAGCCTTAAAATGGAAACATGTTTTAAATTCTAAGAAATAGATTTGCCAAAAAGTGGCCAATACATAAATATCCACAAATGCTTTATTTGGTTAATTGGGAGATTATTTTTTGACATATGTGATCAGTAAAACAAAACTCAACAGCCAAATATATGGACATAGACTTTAAAAAACAAGGCAGATGGTTTTGGCTAAAAATTAAACTCACATGAAATAGAATTTATTTTTCTAGTGCTGCCTTGTGCTCTAAAGGTTTGTTTTCTGGGTTCCTGATGGATTTGCCCTACTTTTCCTTAAGTAGATTGTCCAGAAGATCTTTCCACTAGCTCATATTCTCAGATAGTGGTGCAGTGTTGCTTTTGCTGGGCAGTATTTTGGTTTTAGTTCGTTTTTAGAATGGCCACTATTCATAAAGCAATGCAATGGTTGAAAGTGTTAATTAACTACTATAGAAATCATATGATGCATTTAACCTTGCCAAACCAAATCTTGGTTCATGTGGGTGGGAGGGATCAGCAGTGTAAGGAGGACTGTACTAATCAATATCCAAAATAAATTCACCCTTACAAATGGTAGCCTCTCTTGGTAGAGGAGTGGGAGTTATAGTTACCTTTACGCAGGTGGTGCCAGTTTTAAAATGCTGCTGTTGTCTGGGCAGTTCCACATGAAGTCTCATATGGAGCTGTTGGACTCTACCAATCAGTAATGGAAACAGGAATATTTATCTGGTAAAAAATTATAATAGCTTGTATTGACCAAAAATACCCTTAAATAGAACACCAAATTTGCCTGTTACAGCATGTTTCAGTACCACAGTCTTGAGTTAAATTGCTCAGCCAAAATACTGATGGGGAAGCACTCCACTTTCATTGTGCTTGTATCGCAAAGCAGACAGGTCATCAGTCCCTACAAACCTTGCCCCAAAGGTGACCCTTGCCAGTGAAGGTTTTATTTAGAACTTCTAAGTTTGGGCTTTTAGTTGCGTTGGGACCACTTACCGTGCACAAATGGAAGTTTGTGGGTTTTTGTTTCCCCCCCGATTCCAGGAGAAGTAGGCTCCTAAACATTAACTTTGTGGTGCACAGTTCTTTTGGGAAAAGTGGACATGCGTGAGCAGCCATCGGACTGCTACTCAGTGCAGGAATCACTTCAAAACAAATGTATAAATTGTAAATTGAACTATAAATTTTCTTTGCAATTTTGGCCATCATATTCTGTTCAAAGACAGGAATGTTGATCCTTTTACCAAGTAAAAAAAAGGCTCATTTAAAATGTACCTAAAATTTTAGGAAATTGTGCACCCTTTTATCAATTTGTATAAAGTCTTTAGTGAAAAAACTGTTAAAATTAAACTTTTTGTATTCTGGGGTGTATCTATTTTTATTCTGTTGAAAACCTATTTAAAGTGGCAGGTGAGTGAGTGCTTGCGTGTAGAGTGGAAGACTTGTTTCAATCACCTACTTTAATAGTACAGCTGAATGACCTTGTGACAGCAGTGCATTGGGTTGAACTGTCATGAACGCTGCTGCTGGTCCTGTGTGCTGTTTCTAATGTACTTTTAATTGGAATAAAGAACACGTACTGAACTGTGCTCCGGTTAGTCTTTGTCTCTGGCATCCCTGTTTGTTATCAAATGTCTTGTGTAGAGGACTTGACGGAGATGGAGTTCTGGCAGTGCTGCTTCTTGGAATACTCCCAGGTGAATTCCACTGTGAAATATGAGATTAGTGTAACTGAGCTGCTGTATTTCCCAGATGCTTTCAGTGTCGAGTTAGGCAGCATCCCACCAGCCATTTATCATTAAACTATATTGGATAACGAATGAGATCAGATTAATTCTATTCTTCCCCAATGTCTCTTTTGATGCCAGGATTCTTCCTGGCATCAGCCTTAGTGGTAACTAAGCACTAAAGGATAAAACTTGAAGGTAGGTACTAAATTTAAATCGTGCGTGGCCATTAAGGCACCTACTTCTTTGTTCTTGGGGAGCCACTCAAAATGCTGCTGCTAGATCGTTCCAGCCAGCCACCCTGATCATCCCCTTCTCTTCACTTCTTTTCTCTACTGGTTGTCCTTTATCAGCTCTCTGGCCTAGCCTTCCCCTCCCTGCTTACATGGTCTTTACCAATGAAATATATAGTCCTATTAATTTGAATTCCAAAACAGTTCACTACCTGTCTACAACACAGGTTAACAACTCTTTGCTGTTCCACAACACAGGTTAACAACTCTTTCCTGCTGGAAGACAGAGAAAAATCGGGTAAAGCATTTGCAGGACTGCTTGAGTGCAGTGATGTATGAGTAGAATTGTGGAAGTCTGACTTGTTTCTCTAGAAAGGCTGATTATTACTCTTGCCCAGATGTGTTATAACAGACTATTTGAACATGCTGTTAAAAGTATGAGGAAATGTGGCAAGAGTGAAACCTCTAGTTCACATAAACCCTTGATTTCAAATCCAAGTTGCACTCAGGAAATCTTTGCTGGTCTTAGCTTCACACTGAAAACAGTTTATTTAACATTGTTTAAATGTAACATCATACACACATCTCAAACAGTAAATTGACTGTACTTGACCTAGTATTTGTTTTATAGCTTAAGTCTGATTTTTCCACCACTTCCCTTAGCCTATTCCTGTATGTCATGTGACTAGCTGATCTGTGGGGGAAGAGATTGTGTCAATGCATAAAATCTGCAGTAGCTACTGAAACAATGCCTGCAACAAGCTATCGTTTCCAGTGAAGTTGCTCACAGATTTTTTCATAGCAAAGCTCTTCAGGACACATCCCTATTTTCCCTTTATCCTAGCCAAGATGTGACTTGAATAGGTGCATTAAAGTGGAAAAGGTTTGAAAACCATCTGGACTCCCTGTAGAGGAGGAAGCAATGGCTGCGGTAACACCTTACGGAGTTTTGGTCACATTTCACAACTAAGTATTTAAAAAGGGGTAGGAAGCCACCAGTTAATAACACAGATTTATTCAAAAAGAACTGAACACTTCGCTTTTGGAGGTGGTTTGCATTCTTTAGCATTAGCGGGCTCTTCTATGCTGCAGTGTGCTGGCCAACACTACACTCAGTTCTGCCACTTGAACCTGCCATCTCTCACTAACAGCCAACACTAAGTTCAGAACAGAAGAATATGCTGTATTCTTCCACGTAAAAAATTAATCATACAGTTAGTTCATTCTTCCCACTGCTCTTGGCAATTTTCATAGTGAAACATTCTTTCTACCATGTTCCCAAATAGGTTTCTAATGAGGATTACAACTAAGCTCTGATACAGTTGTACCCCCGAAGGCAATTAAGAATGCTTTTAGCTTAATGTAGTCATCTAAATGCTGCTATTGAAGTCAACAGACCAGTGTCACCACTTACAGCATCATATAGTGCTAGTATTTCAGCAGCTGTCTTGTTCTACGGGGCTTAATTGCTGGCCTACGAATATTTGCTTTTGACTGAAATTCAGCATATGTGATCACAGTAAAGAGCAAATATTCTACCACCCTTTACAAAAGGTTGGTTTGGCCATTATAGTGAGGCAAAAACACTGACTTTGTTTCACCTGTAATACTCTCAAAAGTAGCCTATTATTTGGCAAGCTGTCCAGTCAGGTAGCCTGATCCATTCTTTTATTATACTGGGTGTTCAAACTCAGCTACTGCACATGGACAGTAAGGTTTTCCACTAAAAAATGAGGTTTTTTAGCACGTGCACAGCAGCTGCATTAATACAGAAAGACAGGACCAAGCCATTCTACTCTCACAGGTTGATTTTTCTGAACTATAGAAAATAAATAGCACAATCGTTTGAGGTACAGTCTATTCGGTAAATAACAGCCCCAGCAGAACTCTTCCTGTACATATTTAGCCAAAACGCAAAAGCAACGGTTAGTTGCTCAGGTTAATGCAGTTCAATTTAAAAGAGCGTTAAATTGCAGTAGCAAACAGCACTGAAATTCAAAGTTACAGCAGACAATCCACCCTTAACTCTGGATTTCCTGATTTACAGGTGTGCATCACAATCGTATGCACTTGATGAAGAAAGAAAGCTAATGAGTTTTTTAAAAAGTCCTCTTTGTATCCATACAGGAATCAGACCCCCTTAACCATGACTTTCCTTTTATGAGAAGACAAAGCAGTCATACTCTTGAGGCACTGAGGTTATATGGGACTAGTTTGATTCTTGAATGTACTTTACCCTTGACCTTGTACTTTTAACACATCCCAGCAATGTATTTACTCTCCCAAACTTGGTTTGAGTTACTGCTTTGAGACCATTTTCTGTGTATTGACCACTGTAGCTGTTCTTGCAGCTAATAAGCTACTTTATTATGAAGATCATTAATGTAACTTTAAGGAATCAAAATAGAAATAAAAATAGTGCTGCTTGTATCTTCCCAGCTCCATGTATTATTCTGACTCGGACTTCATTGCATTGAAGTGGTGCATTCCTGGAACAAAAACAGAGAAGACAAGACAGGCCTCCCTGCACCAGAAGAGAGGGCATCAGAAAAGTGGGTCTTCCCAGAAGAATAGAAACTCTTTAAAAAACCATTTAGAAATACTATGAAGCCCAGAAGCTGGTGCCCACTCTTAAAGTGAATTGTGATTGTACACATGGAAAAAATAGATACTCTTAATGTGGTGTGTACATACACTTTAAAATAACTAAGAAGTATTTCAGCACACTCTATTTATATACAAGTCTACTTCAAGGGAAGCGCTTGGAAGACAGCGGGACTAAGAAGTAGACCACTGAAACAGATCAGGCTGGTTCAGTTCTTAGACCACTCAACAAAGGGAAGTCCATGGCATCCAACAGAGTTACATGCTAAAGGGTGACCGAAGTTGTGTAAGAATCATCGTCCATTTAGAGATCTCCATCTTGTTCTTCCTGTAGGATGCACAACACTGACTTGTGTGGGATCCCGCACTCTTGCAGGGACTTTGTAAGGTCAGGAAAGCTCCTCCTAGGCACTTCCATTGTTTCAACACTACAGCGTTTGTATTTGGTTGTGTTCTTTTGTTCTGCCACAGCAAGGACCGTTTGAAGGCTGTCTGTAGGCCTGAAGTGATGTTCAAATCTTTGACCAGAAGGAGACCTAACGGCAAGCAGCAGTCTTGGTTCTTTCTTCAGTGGCTCCTCCAAGTTTAAAACTGAGGATGAAGAGCTTTCTTCTCTTGTTTTCCTTAATAGCTTCTTCTCAGAAATGGGAGGCTGGACTTTTGAGCATTCCCCTCTAGCCCCTTCATTCTCTGTCATTACACCAGTGGATTTTCCCTCTCTGGGAAGAGCTTTGGATGGTTGCTGCTCCTCCTGTCTACTACTCATTTTCAGTTTGTTGGTCTGTTCGATCACGGTTTCCACAGCACTCTTCCCCAAGCCCTTCCTGCTGATGGACGGGAGCACTCTGTACTTATTTAGGGAAGAGGAGGTCCTCAAGGGCACTTGCTGGAGGAGCTCTGGGATTTCATCAGGAGACACCTGCCCCGGCTGGTAAGATGGTTTGGTAGATGCTCTTTGATTGCTTGCTGCTTCATAGGGAGCTGCTGGCTGAGGGGAGGATGGCACTCTATAAGAATAGGCCTCCACACTATGGGAGTAATTCAAGCTTGATCTCGTGCGTCCCTTGGCAGATTTCGGCCGGGTGACATGCATATTGATGGTGTTTGACCGCCAAATGAAAGCTTCTGCAGTGCCCAAAGTGGTGTTGCATTCAGAGGGTGCTATGTTCAGAGGTGCTACTGTGGCCATTGCTTCTCAAGACACCTGTAGAGGGGGTGACGGGGGGAAGAAAAAAGTTACAGGAAACAGTCAAAAAATCTCTACAGCATTTTACTTCACTAGAGTTACCCCTGTTTTTATGCTGCACTGTGTTTAACATGATAGGGTATCCTGGCGTGTGTTGATTCACTGTGTGCAGGGAGATTACAGAACAGCTCTGTTGTTGTGTCAAGTATCGAGTTTGTGGCACGTATTCCCAGATGCTGGCTTTGTAACAGATCAAGGTTCTTTGGTGTAGGGAACAGGCCCGTATGTCTGTAAAACACTATGTTTGCCTATAGTGTTGTAGGAACAAACAAAAGTGGGTTTTCTCTGGAAGGATCCCAAAGTGCCTTACAAGCTACGTACTCACAACACTATGCAGCCACATCGGGGATGAAGGGCTATTGTCAGCTGCACAACAGAGGAAGGGAAATGCTGATAAAGGACACCAGAGCTGTGAAAAGTGCCATGGGATTTTTAATAATAGCAGCATGGTACTCCATTCACTAAGATCGGAAGGACAAATGGGTGAGTCAGTCCCACTGGGATCAGAATCATGACTCTTGGGGAGTTCAAATATTAAAGCCAGATAACAAGAGAGAGGTTTTAAGTCTGTTTACATGGTACACACTGTATATTGTTTGCATAGCACTCTATATCAAGTGCTAAGTGTTCTTACTGTTCTTCAAGGATTTAATGTAGGGGAAGCCTTTATTATTTTAATAGATGGAATGGGGTGTTATTTATTATTTGTCTTTCAGTACTTTCTAGAGCCACCCGCTGGGGTTGGGGCCCACTAGTGTTAGGCACCATGCACTAGGAGACAGTAACTGCTCCAAACAGCTCATTATCTAAACAGATAAGACAATCTAAGGGTGGGTGAGAGGAAGTATTATTATCCTTAACCAAGATCACACAAGCCTGTGGTAGAGCCAGGAACTCTTGAGTCTCAGACCAATGTTTTAGCCACAGCCTTTCCTCTCTAAGGGTATGTCTTAGCCCGTGCTCCCAAGACCATCCATACACAAAACCATCAAGCATGTGCTTATTTTGCACTTTAAACCCATGCTTGCTTGCATGGCTGGGGGTAGGAGTTGTAGCCCAAGTAGTGCTTTAGCTCTGGCTGGAACTTGCCCATTTTGCAGTAAGGATGCGACTCGTGTAGTCCTTTATGTCCTTCCCACAATTCCTCTTCTCTCCTCCCCGGAGGACAGGCAAGTTCTCCCGCAATTGACAAAACTGTGAAAGGATCCTAGAGCATCTCAGCACAAAGAATCATGGGCTCTGCCCCCAGACACACATGAGGGAGTACAGATGCAGTGGGTAGGGCTTTGCTGTGGACGTGTCAGTTTGTACAAAAGTTTTAATGAAAAACATGTAAACCGTTTTTTATTCTGATGTTATTCACTCATTGAATGTGGCAAGCGAGTGTATGTGGAGGAGCAGATATGAAATCATTGCTGTCTCTGAGGTGTCGATTAAGTTCCCTGTGTGGACTTTTAGGTACGACTGACGGCACTTTGGCTTTTAAAAAATTTAGAAGTCTCTTATTTAAGTCCTTTGAGCCACTATGGCTGATTCAATCCACTGAAACCTGTTGTAAGTGACCAGTCAAAAGACCTTGAAGCTCATCTCCTTAATGGGTGTTACTATATAGTCCTTCTAATAAAGATGGAGTAGAATTCTACTCAGTGACTCTGATCCTCAGCTGCAACGAGACCACTTTGCTCCAACAATTCAAAGCAGCCTTAGAGCCACGGGAGGATCGTCCAGTGGCTTAGAGGTAGGATAATGATGCCTACATCACCCGCTCGCTTGGTAAGGGTGGTTTGGCCAAGGAAAAAGGGGCAAGTTTTCCACATGACCTGGCAATGCCTGGATGCCATAATGGTACTTTGAGACCATTGTCACACACTGGCTACCCCAAAACCAAACAAAACCTTGGGAATGACCAATCTTTAGCAATGGCAGGTTTATTTGGATTTACACCCCTCTGCAGGGAAAGCTGCCCTGCCATCTAACCCACCTTCATAATCCAATGTCTCTTCTCAAGTGCATAAACCGTCTGTTACTCCAAGGGGGATGCCAACATTCATGTTCCACCGTATTCATCAAATTAACTAGAGTTGGAAAACCAGATGCTCATGGGCCTTTGGCCAGTGATGTGTTATTTAACACCTTGTTTCTCCGCCTTCCTCTCTTGTCTCAGTGAAATGGAAATGATCAGTAAATTAAACGTCTAGCAAAGAAAAAGTACAGTCTCAATGTACAGGTGTGCTTTGGCATGCTTTCACTATCAAGCTGTTCTAAGGTACAATAATCATCACTCAGCCACCTGAATAAGTGACCTATTTACTTACAACACAATAAATGTACAGGCAAGCGGACTGACTAATAATCTGGACACAAAATCTAAGTCACCAATAATAATTTCCTAGGAGTATATTAAAAGGGCAGGAGTGTTATTTGGTTTAGAATACCTTCAAATAAACTCCAAGGCAGCAAAATCAATATGAAGAGCTAAAAGCCATGGTCTTACACCCCTTCAAAGAAGGATTCTTGAACATGGCAAATCAGCGTTACCAGCTGTCTAGAAATATACTGACAGTGAGCAAAATTATGAATAATCCCCTAAGAAATTCGCTGTTTGCATCTTCTGAGTGCTGGACAGCATCATTTCTTTTTAAAATAAGTGTATAGCATTTAAAATTGTCACACCAGTCTTTAAACAAGACATTTTAAACTGGGTTTCTCAATCAGAGGCCCATATTAATAGAGCTGTGCACTGTATTAAGAAGATTTTAAGCAGCGGGAGACCCAAGATAGTAGTTACTGCTTTCCCAAAGGGCATAGAAAATGGAGAGGACAGGGAGTTCTTTTGAATAAATTGGTATAATTACCGAGCAAGCAATCCAATACTCACTTGACTCAACCTTTCTTGACTTTGTGCAATTGTTGCGACATCTAAAGCTTAGTCCAGGGGAGCCCTACTTTGGTGAGGGCAGCATTGGCAACTAGCCAGGAGCCCAAGGGCTACATGCATTTTGTATATGTTTACACAGTTGGTTAAATCAACAATAAATGCACAAATCCCCTAGACTGGTGAACAGAAGCTGCATTGTCATTTGAGTGCACTAGTACTCAAACCTGCAGCTGATCTGCTTTGTCCTCATGCTGCATTTACAAGGACAGGACGCCCACTGGTCAGCATTTAGGACTCCAAAGGATGCACTTTGGGTGTGGTACTAAGAGGCCTATGCTTTCAAAAGTGGCCACTAATTTTGAGGCCTTCAAGTTTTGGGTGCCTAACTTCAGTCACATTGGATGTGATTTTTCAGCCATGCTGAGCGCTCAGCCAGAGCTGCTCACCACCTCTGACAATCCATGTTTCAAAATAATACCCCCCAGCTCTTGGCTAGCACTTTCCATCCGCTGATCTCAAAGCAAAGCTCCGAATCAGTTCGGACACAACATTTCACAAAGGAGGGTCAGTGGGCAAACTGAGGGGAAGTGACTTGGCCAAGGTTACCCAGCAGGCCAGTGGCGGAGCTGGGAACAGGTCTCCCCTGACTCCCAGTCCCGTGCTCTATCTACTAGGTCACATCTGCCTCCCTTGGGAGCTCAAGTTTTGGGGGGGAGCACTCAGAACTGGTGGCTACTTTGGGAAACGTCCCCTTGCTGTCGATCTTCCCTCCATGGTGCACCCCAGAGGCACTGCCCGCCCAGCCCTGCCCGTCACCCTCTGGGCACCCGGGGGGGGGGGGGGGGCGGGATTTGGCGCTTGTGCTGGGGGGAGGGCCGAGAAGTGTCTGGGTCCTGGGGGTCTCCCCTCCCCCCCCCCCCGCCCAGCAAGCCAGAGCCAGAGCCAGGGGTGGCGAGCGGGACGGGCCCTGGCTCAGAACGGACCGGGGTCGGATCCCAGGGGTGCTTGGTCGGGCGAGGGGCTGGGTCGCCAGGGGGCTCCTGAAAGGAGGGGGAATCCCGGGGGGGGGGCTGGGAGGGCACCCAGGTCCCGAGCGAGGGGAGGGGAGGGTCGGCGCGGTGCAGGGGACCCCCCCCAGGGGTGGAGGGGCGGGGTGCAGAGTCCCCGGGGAAGGCCCGAGAAGGGCCCGCAGGTGCACACGGGGCTGATCCCGTCTCTCACCTCCGCGCCGCGCCATCCGGCAGCCCTCGCCCAGCCCCGCTGGTAAACAGCCCCGCGTTGCCACGGCAACCGGCCCCGCCCGTCACCCACTTCCGGCAGTGACCGGAACAAAGCCGACCCCTCCCCGCCCGAACCACAGAGAGCAAAGGGAAGGCTGGCTAGAGTGTACACACCCTCCCAACCCCCTCCAATTCAAGGGTGTCCGCTGCCAGGGCCGCCAGCCCGCTCTGGAGTGACCAGGGTCCTGGCCCGGGTTCAGCGGGGTGGCCCCTACCTGGCTGGGAGGGTCCTTCCCAGGCCCTATGTCACCATGGTAACGCCCCTGTGGTGCCACAACACAGCGCAGTCCGGGGGTGGCAGGGGCTCGGCCCCTCAGGGACACGCTGCCCCCCGGCCGCCCGGGAAATCCGTGAGGCTGCTCAGTGCAGGCTGCCCTCTGCCCTTATTATTATGGGGGGATATTGCTGCTTAGGGCCCCAAGTGGGCCAGCACTGCCTCTGTGGCCAGGTGTGTACAGCACCTAGCGCGCTGGGGGCGCTATCTAGGGGTGCCAGGCATCTGGTTTTCAGCCGGTCGAAAAGGGACACTGGCGGCTCCAGTCAGCACCGGTGACCAGGCCGCTAAAAGTCCGGTCAGTGGGGCTAAGGCAGGTTTCCTGGCACCCCGCAGCTCCCAGAAGCTGCCGGCATGTCTGGTTCCTAGGCACAGAAGCAGCCACTGGGCTTTGCATGCTGCCCCTGCTCCGAGTGTCAGTTCTGCAGCTCCCATTGGCTGGGAACCGCGGCCAATGGGAGCTGCAGAGGCAGCACCTGCAGGCGCGGGCAGTGCGCAGAGCCACCTGGTCCCTCCGCCTAGGAGCTGGACATGTGGGCCGCTACTCGGAGCTGCCTGAGGTAAGCGTTGCCTGGAGCCTGCACCCTGAACCCTCTCCTGCACCTCAACCCCTAGCCCTGAGCCCCCCCACACCCAAATTCTCTCCCAGGGCCTGCACCCCACATCCCTTCCTGCACCCCAACCCCCTGCCTCAGCCCTGAGTCCCCTCCTGCACCCCAAACTTCTCATCCCCAGCCCCACCCCAGAGCCCACACCCGCAGTTGGAGCCCTCATCCCGTTCTGCACTGCAACCCCCCTTCCCCAACCCAGAGCCCCCTGTACCCTGAACCCCTCATTTCTGCCCCCCAAAGCCTGCACCCCCAGCCAGAGCTCTCACCCCCTCCTGCACTCCAACCCCC